TCTCATTTGGGTGTAATTCCGTTTTTGTGCGGAATCTATACTTCGAGAGCTAACGATTTGCTGGAAACTGGCTGGCAATGGTAAATCCGAACCAACGGATTTCGAAAAGAATGAACCGAGGCACGAGATATCGGGCATTAAACTTGACGTCGTGTTTCTCGGGACTATACGAAATATCGTATACCAGCCTGGTGTAATTGTTAAAAATCTATGTCATACCGGAAGAATACAAAGCGTTCCTTGTATACGAGCCAAAATGATTTTGAGGAAAAAACCAGCGCGAATTACGCTCAGTAATTTTTCTGAAAAAGAACCTCGCATACTCCTACGGGCATGAAACATCATGTTTTCAATTTAACAAAATTGGAGAAGCCATACGTATAAAATGTTCACTATCCTCCTTTCTTCGTTATGAATGAACATAAAACAGTGGTTATTCAGTACAAAATGTCTTTTCTAAAATCTGACACGCTGCTATTCCAACCGTGATCAGAAGAGATACCGCCGCGTAAGAAGTTCTTTTAATCTTCTACGTCTGCCTTACATCGTTGTTAAATAATAATTTGGCAACGCTTTCGCGCGATACGTTCGCCTGTCAACTCGAGCAAGCGATTACACGCTTATTATTCAAACAATCACTCTTTATCTGGAGAGTTACGTATCAATCGGATAAGATAGCGATAAGAAAACAATGGAAACTCGGAGTTCTCTCTATCTTTAACGCGTTGCATGATATCCTGTCCCCGTTTAGTAGCACCTGGGATGGCAGTCCGATGCATGAAAAAGTAGAGAGGCACTAATTAAGCCGCTATCATTACGGTTCCGTGGTGTAATTCCGCGTTGTTGGCATTGTGCTTCGAATTCCGCCAAGTGGCTGTTGGCCGGAGGCTTTTGGAATCCTCCGGAGCGTGGTCCAAGGCCTTTCAACTCCAATTCCACGCGCGTGCGTCTCATCGTCGAGGTTGACGTCGTCGTCAACGACATCGTCGTAGCCCAGGATGTTTCCTGTTGTTTCCTCGCTGCGCCTCACAAGACCGCAGCCAGAGGTTAATCCGCATCCGGTATTTCGCAGTTACTTGTTTTTCCATACGCGTGAATATTGTCCAAGAGAGTCAGCCTCATCGCTTTATATCCTTTTGCGGTGCACCCTTTCTTCGACGCTGCAAAAGAGTAAATGTGCCATACTTTTAAGATTGACAGTGTTCAGTCTCGCAACTCGTCAAATTTGTCTAAAATATGCAACATTCATCAGGCGGTGATGTTTTTAAACGATTAGAAAGAAATTTCTGCGACGTCCAAAGAGGTAGTAAATCATCATCTTTCCTGTTGAGATTTTGCAACAGCTGGGTGATAATTACAAATATTGGGGATCGACGAAACGGGGATCTTTGGGGGTTTTGAAACTTTCGAACGTGTCCGGTGAAAATTGTCGTGCGACTTTGACGTTTGATATTTTTTTTTCATTCTTGCGAATAAAGAACGATATGCAATTTCTGACGTTATAATTTTTTTTCTGTTTACTCTGTTTCATTTACCAACGAGTGAAACGCACCGTGAATTTCAACGCTTCTACATATTTTTATAACAAACATTGCAGAAAACATGCTAACGTGGTATTTGAGCTACGATGCTTCTATTACATCTAACGTAGTTGTTTAATTTATTATATTTTGAAAATTTTCAAACAGGTAATTGGCTATTTTTTTAAAAAGAATCTTCCGCAGAAAAGAGCAACGCGGAAAACGTAACAAATATAATATGATGATGTTCAGTTTGTTTAAGAGTGAACATTTTCAGACACATTTTTAGAAACTGTAAATCTCTGGGAAAAAACGAAGCAGCAGCTTTTCAAACATAATTCTGTGGTATTCGTAACTTCGTAGGGAATAGCTCCTCTGTAACTTCGATACTAAATAAAAATTGGATAAGAAATTGCTGACCTGTGTCAAAGTTCGTATATAGAACTTACTTGATGCCTCGGCTTCTTCCAAACTCTTATATCGAGGACACGTTTACCAAAGACTCAGCGAATAAATAATAGTGACGAAACTTGAAATCATGTCGTTTGATCGATACGTTTTTTTATGAGATCAACCGCGATGAAAAGCGATTTCGATACACTTTGATTTTCACAAACGAAATATCGGGATTCTAAAAATATTTTATTCAATTTTCTCAAATTTTCAAATGTATGTAAATTATAAGAAAAAAAAAAAACGTAAAATAACATTAAGTTTGTTACATCTTATACTTTAAACGGAACGATCATTCGTTCGATTTTAAACACGAAAGCGTCGTGTGTGCACTCGGTCATTAAAAGCTTTGTTTACCGGAAGGACTGACATTTAGAATGAGCAATGGATACAATATTTCAAGACTCGGTATCCGTTCGATAGTTTTCGTGCTGACTCTTGGCGAAAAGGCTTGAAATCGTTGAGAAGTTGCGGATGCCGGGACAGATGAATGGGAAGTAACAGATAACCAATCGTGCGAGTATAATAGCCACGCAAAGCTGCGCACGAGCATTTGCTTCTTCTTGCCGTAATTTTTCTGCGATGTGAAATTGAAGAAATTTCTATATTAGAATTTTATATCGAATGAAAATGAATCTTTCACACTACGCAAATTAAATATCTAAATCCATTTAATTCGAAGAAGAATTATAAATCTTTTAAATAAGTCTTATAAAATCTTACGAACGAATAGTAATATGTATGGAGGATTGTAAATCTTTGAAAATATTATATTTCTTTGAAATTACATCTCAAAAATCTTTCATACGAAAAATGTCCTGCTTTCAAGATAGTTTCCGGATACACAGACACAATTGTACAAAACAGCATGATGACACGCTTATCATCTTCGATCGAGCAGTATTATCTAACAAAAAAGCGTGGACCGGTTACGATGACTTTTAGATATGCATTTTAGAGCAGCTCTGGTGACTGCCACGCTGCCGAGAATTTCCTTTGCGGGGCGATCCAATTGTTTTCGCGCACAAATCTCCGATATCAGACTCGTCCACTGTCGTCGCTTCCTTTTCGCTGGCCGCCTTTTTTGTTTTTCTCGTTGCCAAAATCGAAGTATCGGCATCAGCATGGCCCGGCATCGACACTGAGCAGGAAGTTTACGTCGTAAATTTGGAATCTTAAGGGTGGAATTATAGTTGAGTAGAGCTCGGCGCTAAGCCACGCAGTTGTTACCACGGTGAGCGCTTTAAAAGTTGGTCTTGGGTGTTCGTGCTGGTACCGGGAGGGTGGGCAAAGAAGAAGAAGCCAGAAGAAGCGAGAGCGCGCGATACGGTGGAAAGGGACGCGGAAACGTGGTTAAGTTGCCAGGAAACTTTGGTAAAACTGAAAAGTTAATTTCGTCGTGTTAAATTACTCGAGCGCTCGGGCATTAAACTTGCAAAAGTTGGCCGGATGACTGAAATACGTACCTTCCGCCACCTCCCTCTTCTTCTTCTTCTTCTTCTTCT